ACACTTTGGACATTACACAAACATTTGCCCCAAACAAAAACCCGTTTGGGTTCAATAGCTGAGAAGTGCCTGTAGCCAAACAAACAGGCTGGCCATATGTAGAACAATTTCACAAAACAAATAACAGCACCAAGTCAATTTATAATCAGTTAATATGAAGTAAAACTGTAGCTTAAAATATCCCAGGAGACAGGAAGGTGCTAGAATAGCTGCTGTTGCTCTGTGTTCTAACTGGCAGGAACAATTTGGTTATAACAATTACATTTTAATTAGTAACAAAACAAGATGTTGTAAAAACTTGTGCAAAAGACATAACGACAAATAAGAATGACAAATCCTGGCACCACAGTCTGAAAATAAATAAGTGAAAACCAGAAAGTATTAGTCATAGTTGTTACAAGTTAATTTGAAATATTTGAAGGAATGAAAACAAAGCTGAATATTGGGACAAATGTTTTTTTCCAGTTGGACAACAAAAATCTTTTTGTGAACAATAGGATGGAAAATGTTTAGACTGGAATGCAATATTCTTAGGTCACCAAGAAGTCTAATTTACATTTTTTGTCATAAAACATTATCTGTATATAAATAAGGATTGAGATTGGCCGTGGATGGAAAAGTAGCCTATATGCTAACTCACTCATTAACTGCATATCAAGTATTCAGTCAGAACTATAGCTAAGTATTTCAGAATGGTGCTAATGAAAAGTTATTTCCATTGTTTGCTGTGGACATGCATATTTTCTGCCATCCTTCATTGCTTAGTGCTTTGCATTTTTCATAGGAATATAAGATTGCCCCCCTCCCCCTTTAATCACTAAATACTTTCCCTGCTGACAAAGACAACCATGCGAACAGTTTGCTGCCATTCAGTTATTATTAGATACATTAGACAGCTTCCTTTTACCTTTTTTTTTTTTTTTTTTTTAATAATAATATTGTCCAAGGAAGCTCTGTAAGTCTCATTATGTTGGGTTCATTGCCAAGGCTCATCAACAAAGGGGAAAGACATACAATAAAAACAAAACTAGTTATCTTTTAACCACATGTGAATTCCTGGCATGAGTCAAGTTGATGGGTGCCTTGCCATTTGTTTGGGATTTCACCCTGCAATTGTAGAAAGGGGGTGTTCCCGCTCTTTAAGGTTTTTCTCATGGAGCCATCAGAAGCACAGGAACACAGGATGTTGATATAAACATGGATTCATACAAAGGGTCTGGGGTTTACATATCGAATCTGAAAGTCACCTGCCTGAAGCCCTCACTCAGCAGCTCCTTGCTCCAGAAAGGCATGAAAAATTCAGATACCTAATTTTTGCTTATAAAATGGTTGGGGCACACACAGAATTTCTTATGCCCTCAAAGGGAATTCACAAGTGATGGAAGTACCATTGTCTTTTCTTCCTTGTGAGGCCTTGTGAGACTGGTTTTCTTGGACAAAGGAAAAAAAAATGTGTTTCTTCTGCAAAATTAAGAAACAAAATAATATATATTTTGTCCTTACCTTCTGATGTCCTTATCATTTATTCAAAATTTAGAGTTTAAATCTACATATATGAGACTCAAGGTTAAATCTGAACATGACTTGAACAACCTTGCCCACTACCCAAGGGAATTTATTACTATGTCTCAAGTAAGTTAGAGATAAATTCTCTCAACTAATCCTCTTAAATTGCTTCCACTTTGCCTATATTAATTCAAGAGGAGTTCAAAGCCTGGAGCGATCTGAACAGTCCAAAGTCCACTCAACTAGTTCATACAGCATGCAAAAATGCAGTAGAAGAAACTACAAAATCCACACTCAACTCCCCCTGCTCCGCCACCTCCAAAGATGGAAGAAACAGGTTTGAATACAGCAGCGAGTGCTTCAAAACACTGAATAAGTTGTATTGGTCTGCCTTTTGCCTGCTTTTGGGATTTCTGAGAAAGGGACTCCAATTTCAGGAGACAGCTACTGAAGGTGGAGAGCTATAGCTTTTTTGTAATGAACGAGTTTTATGCTTACATGGGATTTCTTATTATCATTGCATATTGACAAGTAGCTCCATAGACTCCACTCTTGCACACCTAACTCTACATATACCTTGCATGATTGCCTAACTATTGATGTCTCCAGACTGAAAAGATGATCCCTGAAAAGTCTTCAACTGATGGAGGATACAGGCACAGAGAAAAATAGAAAATAGAATTTCTTCCTGTGGCTCCTGAGCTCCAGAATTATAATCTTACTGATCTAACGGGATATAATAATTCCAGTGTGAAACTAGGCTGTTCAAATATTTTCCTGGGAAAGTCATACTTCTGGGACTTGCACAAATGTTCTTGCATTCTCAAGAACATAGATTTGATGAAGTACTTTTGGACTGAAAACCAGTATTTCCCTTACACAGAATAAGTCATGCGGAGTGCATGACTTGCAATTGCAAAATAAGCAAAAAATGTCAGCTTGGAAACATGTTTGAATTGACAAGTTAAGGTTAGAGATGCTTGAATTTGCTGTCTTCTGGACACAAAAAAAGGCTTACAGTTTCACCTGAGCAGATACTGAATTTTCTTATGTCTCTGTGTTGTGCATTGGCATTGCTGAGATCACTTTTACACAGCTGCCTTATGGCAAGAGGAAGGAGCTCACAATCTTCTTCCTTGTGGATTTTCACTTGTTCTACAGATAAAACACTTTAAAACAAAAATCTCCTTCATTACACCTGTACTTTGTGTCCCATGACTCTATCTCTGACTGTGGACATATTGGCTCTTGATCTTTTGTTTCTACCTTAATTAAATGGAAAACAATTATTCAGAGGATCCAGTTACCTGGAAGTTTTCCATACAGAGATCTGAAAGCAGGAGGCTTTTTCTCAGTCTGGCTCTCACTTGTGTTGCTTCAAAGCACAACTGAGATAAATTATTTTCTGTTCCCTGTCCATCACATCATACTTGAGAGTATGACAGCCTCCCGTGGCATCACCTGCACTGGCACATGCAGACTGTTACAATGGTTACAAGAGCTGGCAGAGCAAAATGTGTGGTGAAAAATTGTCAAAAATGGAGAACAAAGTGCTAGGAACCAAGCAATTCTCAACATAGCAAAAAAGTTGTTTTTTTTTTTTTTTTTTTAAGAAAAAAAAAAGCTTAACACTCTTGGAATTAGAAGATCTTTTGCTTTCCTGATCAAGTAATCCTTCTCAATGCTGTACATTAAAAAAAAAAAAAAAGTTACAGTTATGGATTTATTAAATGATAAGTCTTGATAGACTATTCCTTCAAAAAAACAGGTACTGTGATTGAGGTGACTCGTAAGATATAAATACAATAGCATTCCTTAAGCCTGTCACAATAATTGGTACACTGACCTATGCCTCATTTAAACAACTCTGAACACTTTTAAGCACTTATGAAAAGAAACAAGATATGTTTTCTCAAAAAGGACAAAAAAAAAAAAAAATAAGAAGAAAAGAAAGCTCAAAGATTACGTTTCATATTGCCAAACCAGAAGGTACAAAACTGGTACAGTGCAGCAGCCGGAAAAGTTGCTGTGATCTCGCCGTCTGAGAAGGAGTCTGTGCATACCAGACCCTGAGATGGGTTGGCCTGGACCTTTTTCCTGTAGTACTGACCCCCCTTCTCTCCCCTCCCCCCAAAAAAACAACACTTTTAAACTCAAAGTCATGTTTCCTTAGAAAACTGAATCCTGCACTTTTTACACCCAGGAAATTCAACGTGATTCAAGCATGTAGAACAGAGATGTTAAAAAGTTTATAAACAACTCTCCATTTGCCTTATACACTGCACATAGAGACCTCCTTGTGTGCAGGCTTAGTGACAGACAGCTTTCTGGACTGAAGAAAACTGCTGTTTCTCATGGATCCTGGGAAATGTCTCATTTCTTACCTGCAGATATTCCCTACCCCTCTTAAAAGTCTCTGCCTGAGACTCCTTGCTCTTCTCCCCCATGCTCCAGTTTCTGGAACTGTTGCGCTCCAGCTGTGCCCAGATGTTTCCCCAGGAAGGATCCATCTTCCTCCTCCTCCAGGAAGTCTCTCCGGTTCTGTCACCCTTTTACCTTTTACCCAACATGCAAGCAGAGAACAAACAAAGCAGGCAGGCCCCGTGCATAGCGGTCCACTGCCCTCTGTCAATATTTTCCAACTTGTACCGGAAAAAGAGAGAAAAGCATTACAGGAAATAAATCATTAAAGGATGTTACAAGCTAAAAAGATAGCTGAGTATTAAATGGCCACGGATGCCTATTCATTTATCTGGCAGAGGACAGAGATGTCAGCCCTCGACAGTTTTTGCAGTACCTCCTATTCTGTGAGCGTTGCAGGTCAAGTGAAACAAAGGTTGTCCTGTCACTGTACAGCATACACATTCATCTCTACACTAGCACCAGTCCTGTCAATCCACACAGTTGTGATTTGTCTGTTTCTTGGAAAAACTGTGAGGCTTTTAAGTCGGCAACCTCTGGTATGTCTGCACCAGCTTTGTGGATCCACCAGCAGCAGAAGTTTGGCCACCAACACAATCTGAGCAGACTTCTTATCCTCTTCTCCTTATTTTTTCCCTTTAGCACTGTTTGGCCTGCACCTCCTTTGGCACAGATATTCAACCAACAAACATAAAACATAAATCCTTTCTTTTTTTTTTTTCAGTTCAAAGTGTCCAGAGCAATGAGATGGATTTACTCACCAGTACAATACTAGTGTCATGATGTGTGTCCTAGAGAATGCAAATCTGGGAACACAAATGGGTGGTGGATACATGTTCTGGCAGACAAAGCCAAATTCAGTGCAGTCCTCTGCCAAACTCTCTGGAAGCTACCCTAAAGCAAATTATCAACTGTGCTTGGATTTACATTTGGGTAAAATAATTGCCAGCTTCAGAAGGGAGGTGAATGAGATGGCTGATCAATCTCAATCCCACTTCAACTGTGGCCAGGGAATAATCCATACTTCAGAAGTGAATACAAAACACCACTACCAAAGGCAAAGTTTAACTCACCAGCAGCTTTTTCTTAACATTGCAGCACTCCAGACTTCATCAATAACCAGAGATTTGGATGCCCTGATTCCAAAATCCCAGCCCCAAACCAAGTCCTAGCTTTAATATTGGGCAGCTGATGAATTCTGAAAACAAACAAACAAAATTGGGAATGGCCAATACTGACATGAGCACCCTCCCTAAATCTGAAGCATTAGAGAAGACCAGCTGTAACTTGAGGCTTTTAAATCAGGGTTTTAAACACTCAGACACTAACCCTAGCCATATCCCTGCTCATAATCTTAATTACACCTTTGGGACTGACAATAACAGAAAAAAATAAACTGGCCTCTATCCCTTCCAATGCTTCTTCTAACTCTCTGGTCAACATAAAGATCAGCAATAAACTGAGCTTTTAAGGCCAACAAACCCTCACCCTGACTCCGGCTTTAATTACTGGCAGGAGTTCCCTTTCATCACTGAAAGAAAGACAACATGTTGCCCCCCAGTGATAAATTCCCCATTTCTACCTCAAAGTGCTCTATAAGGTGCCATACCAAACTGGGCTCCTGAAATACTTGTATTGGGTCTGGCTGGGATATAACCACCACAATACTGGGTTTCCAAATTAAAACCCCAGCCCTAAATTCAATTTCAATTATGCTTAGTTGGATATGGCCTCTAATTCCAGTAATATCTTGTTTTATATACGGAGGTTCCCTTAAATATTAAACCTCAAACTTTAACCGTAGCTCCAACACTAATATTGATATCAACACCAGCAGTGGATACAGCAATTTAGTTTTAAAGGAAAGCAAATTATCACGGAGAAATACGTCATCCCTGTATTTCCCTCGTTTCTGGAGAATCCAACAGTAAACTGGAGGGAGTGAACTTCAGATCCCTGATTCCTAACACTAACCCTAGCCAGTACACCTGTAAAAATCTAGCTTCTGCAAAACAACATAGAACCTTTATCCTATCCAAAAACTGCCCATTTCCAAATTGTTAGGAATAATAACGTGCAGCAATGATCTGGGCTGTTAGGTAGGACTGACAATAGGAGAGCATGCCTCATAACCTGAAACCTAATCTCAGACCTAAATTCAAAGCAAGGCAGAGCCTTAACCTCATGCACAGGCCACTGCTAGCCCTAATCTTAATTATGACACTATGCATCCCAACAATAAAACACACAGCATTTGCCTTTACCAACTCTGGTTGTCTTGTTTTCTGAGTTCAGCAAGCCACAGAGAATATATTAAAAGATGAAATCTTGGAAATCCATTTCCAAACCCTATCTCTGACCTTAATTATTCGTAGGGTTAACCACATAACAGGAGTACATCCCACTTCTACCCTGTCATCACTAGCCGTCTTCCTAATTTTGCCAGGCCAACAGAATAAATAAATTACAAATGTCTTGAAGACTTGAATTCATGAAACCCCGCTCTAACACTTGCACTAATTTAGCATATGTAAAGAGTAAAGGAGGACATAGAGCATTCACCCCTTTCAGATGCTGCCCTCTTCCTGATTCAGAAAACAATCACTTTTTTCTTACATTTCCAAATCCTAGCTCCAAATCCACACTGAAGCTTAATGTTAGTTAGTACACCCCAACAAGCACTGGTCCTATACGAATTGTCCCCTTCTGGAGCTGTAGGTCCTGGAAACTTCACATTCTGACTCTTCAATAAACATTATACCACTTTTCAATTATTTCTAACAGACAAGCATGCAGGTTGCAAATTCCTAGCAGATTGTTTCCACAGATTAATGCCACTAGATTAAGAAAAATTGGCCCCACTAATCTTCATTCTCCTCCCACCTATATGGAACCTACAGAATATTGCAATACCTGTACCTCCTGAATCTGTAGAAACACCAGAATTAAAACAAGTCATGATTATACTCAGATTTATATCAAATACAAAAGACACCTTAAAATATTCTCTTTTGTCAGCATTTGTCCTCTTCCTCCTTCTGAGGAACTTGATAACTTAATATTGGCCATGTTTACAAAATCAGGGAAAAAAATAAAGTAATCCTTTTCTGAAGTTACTGAGATCAAGTTAAATATGATTTATTTTTTTTTCAAATATTTTTCATAGATTATTCCTTTGGAGAGCCCATGCAGTAAATACCTCATTAGAATGATCTGGATGGTGAAGAAAAAATTTTTTTAAACAAGTCAATTTCACAGAAAAGTTGATAACCTTTCTTTACCTAAAATATCGAGAAATATATGATAATAAGCATCTTATTTTTTAAACATAATTTAATATAATGCTCTAGAACCTCACCTAATTTCTATGCCAAAAATTTAAAAATGCTCTTCATCAGAACTGGTAGAAGGAAAATATACAAAAACTACACAGTTGTTAGAAATTTAGTTTTTGCAGCAGCAGCTATGATTTCAGTGCTAACAATTTAGTTACATACTTGATGCAAGTTCCCCACCTAGTGGAGTAATTTTTAATGCTCTAAAAGATCGCAGTTCCTAATGTAATTTTTATTTCTGATTCATTTAAGGAGTATTAGTAATAGTCTCCATATATAATATTTTATAAATATTTAAGCTATACAGTTAGTTCTTCGAAAATTAAAATTCATTTCACACAGTGACTGAAATATTTATAATAGCTTCAGGAAACAAAGGGCCAAGAGAACTACAGAAGAAAACTCAGTCATGGTAATCACTGTATCAACAACATAATTTGAAAAAAGCAGCCCCAGCTATTTTTTCACCTTGGTCTTGGTAGCTGGGCAAGGTTTATTTTTAGGAAATCCTATCTGCTTTACAAATGTTAACAACGATCACATATTAAAGAGCAGTTTAGAGCAGGCAAAATACTTGCCCATATTTCTGACCACATACCTATGTACATCACACAGAGATTCCAGTGGAAGGGAAGGATCATTGCCATGCTGAAAGTCAAACTAGATGATCATAGGCATGCACGCTATTTAAATGTATGCATCATCATCATATTCCTCCCTGTGCCTGCAAAAATGCACAGGTCACATCCCGGACCTATTAAAGGTTAAGCTGGCCCCCAGCTCCTGCACTTGTAATCACACGTGTAGCACATGGCATGGAGAAATAAATGTCCCTGCAGGTCAGCTGGCCCTGAGCCACCCAGGGAGGCAAAGGTCAAGGCAGAGGACATGAATTTCCCCTCTGCTCTCACTGGTGACCGGCGTGCTCCCAAGGCAATGGGTGTAATGCACGGTGGTCCCGGCGTGACAAGTCACTTCATCACTGCATGGCCGCCTTTCAGGGCACCTGCAGTTCACAGCAGTGTTCAGTTGTGACTCGACAGCAAGAGTGGGGTTACAGTGCTCCTGCACTTGAGATAATGAAGGTATAGATTATAGCAGTGCCCACATCAGACAAAGGAGGTCACACGTCCTGACTCGATACAGATCAACATTATAAATGTGGTCTCATATAACACAAGCTTCAGCAAGGTGCCTTGACTCGTTTGGTGCACTTACCAGAACTCATTTCGCCTGTATCGGAGATCAGATTCCCCCCAGATGATGAAAGCTGCAGTTTAACCTCCCGTGCCATGCCACCAAGCATGAGGCCCTGCAGATAGCAGTGGGCTGACCTGGGAGATGGAGCTCCCCACCAGAGCATGGTCACAGAATCACAGGACGGCTGAGGTTGGAAGGGACCTCAGGAGGTCACCTCACCTTGCTCCTTCTTGGAGGACAAACTAAAATACAGAGCCACACAGCCTGTAGTTGTACAGCTCCTTTTTTTCAAAGTACTGAAAAACAACCTCAGCAACTCCAGTACACTTTTTACATGATTCTAAACAGAAAAGGATTACATTACAGACCTCCTCCAGCAACCCCAAACTGGAACCTGTAAGGAATCAAGTTCATATCAAAGGCTCAGTGTGGAGCTAGCAGGCCCTAAATGACCCTGCTGAGTAAATGGCTCACTTCTTCAAAGAACCTTTGCTGCAAACCCGTCACTGTCACTTTGTTTTCACCACTCACAGGGTGAGTGTTGCAAACCCTCATACCCAGAGGGCTGTTCAGATGGCCGGGGTACACCTCGCTCCACAACTGAGCCAGCTGCTGCAGGTGGCCTCAGCCAACCTTCCAGCCCTTGGCACAGGCCTGTAAGCATTTCATGGCTCAACAAGGGCTGCCAAATACTGGAGTGCAAAAACCCCAAGCACAATGACAAGGAAGGATCAGCCTTAATTATTAAGTTAGACCGTGCAAGCAATCTGGTCCTGGCCATCCAGTCAGAAACAGGAGGGCAAAATTCATAAGCCCTCTTCAACATTCTCCTGCTTGGAAAGGTGCCTTACACTCTTCAGCTGGAGCTACACAGGCCTTTTGCTGACACACTGCTTTTCATGTTTTTCTTTTTCAGTGTCAATAGTCTACTGATTTCATCTGCTGCTCTGCTTATAAGATCCCTTTATTTCTTCCTGAGAATCAATAAATATTACTGTCCTTCAGAGGCAGGAAGATAGACTGGGTAATGATGTTCCCTGCTTGCTAGGTTCCATCCACTGAGATTGCAACAGCAAGGCTTCTGGTAATGAGCTAGAAAAACTCTGCAATATTCTTCCATCCTGCTGGCCACAAAGGAGGCAGCTCATGTGCTCTCAGTATATATTCAATTAGGTGCTAAATTTTTGTAGTCTGACTGAAATTAGTTTGTTACCTGAATGAAAACTGACCTTCTCTTCCTTGACAAAATGCCAATAACCAGAAAGGGAAAAAAATATAGAATGCTCTTAATAGAGGAGTATGCCTTGATTTTTATACTTTTGTTCACACAAGGATTACTGAGAAATCCCTTGATACTGAGAAGCTAGCCTTTTATAAGGATGTAGCTATAAGGCACTGCTTCAAGAGTAAGAACTAATGTAAGTTCACAGCTCTGACTCTTTTTTTAATTTCCCTTATGGAATTGCATGAAGCTCTCAGTACTCCGGCAACGCAAACCGAAGAAATCAAAATGAATTTTGGAAGCACGCTTCAGAATTCCCACCCAGCCAAATGTCACCTTATTTGCCACCTACTTCATTGGTGTTAGGATTGTAACAAATTTTAAAATAAATTATTATGGGAAAAAACATTTTTCACTTGGCATGATGAGACAGAGAGTGAGGGAGAGAGAGAGAAAGCTGAACTCTTCCTTGAAATTTGTGGAAAAAGAAAAAAAAAAAAGAAAAAGCAAAAAAAAAAACTGTTTGAATTAGAAAATATAACAGTGGTAAATGGAAGTTTCTAGAAGTGATGAGCACATGGAAATACTGACTAACAAAGAAGATATTCACATATTGCTAGTCAGAGTTGCAACTATGGCACTGGAGTATGCAAGCTTGCTATGTACCTTAATTTGGAATAAGGTCACAACCATCTATAATCCACACTACTGGCAGTGCTAGTGCCCTTTTGGGCTTTGTGGTAGGGTTGTTGGTTTTGTGTTTTGCTTTGTTTTTTGATTTTTTTTTTTTTGAGTTATATTAAATTAAGCTGGCATCTGGTTGTTACTTTGGGCTGCCTGGTGCTTTCTAACAGCATGAGAGATTCTCCTTTCTTAATCACAGTTCATGAAAGGATCCCTTAAAAAAACTTGTGCTGTTGTGAGAACACAGCTCACTGTTCGGAAACGTAGATTCATATATCTACAGCTGAAGGCAATTTTCTGCAGATTGCCACTGTGCAGCTACAGGAAGAGAGGGAACATTTCTTCATTATATTACCATTATAATTAGGGTCACACTGGACACAGAGTAAGTATCCCATGGGATTGGGTAGTGATTCCAAATTCTTTTTTTTTTTTTGCCTAAAGATGATAAATGCAAAACATTTTAAGTAGCTGTTGTCCCTTTTTTATGTAGGGTACATGGGCAAAATCTGTCACATTGTTCTTTTATGAATTGACCATTTACTAAGTGCTTCAGAAATTCTAAAATGCCATTCACAGTCAAACATTGTTTGTTGGGAAGGATGATATTCAGAGTTATGATTGTGAATACTATGGGAGACGTGCTCTATGTGTATATGCCTTGTTTTGTCTTCCTTTGATCTGTACCACAATTCTTAACAGTGGGTTTACAAGAGAGGTTTTAGAAAACTGGAACTTTTAGTATATAGCACCACAGATTCATCACTTATTACCTACTAAAACAAAGCCCAGAACATAAAGAGGATGAGTTCATACTGCCCAAGCTAAAAATCATGGCTCTATATATAGTTCATGCAGCAAGACAGGTCAAATTGCTGTCTGAAGGAGCTCTCTGAATTGCTTTCAGGAGATGTCTGTCTTTCTCCATTGACTGAAGAGGGAACGTAGAATGGCTGATGACTAAACCTAGACAGGAAAAGTCTTAGGTGTTTTGGGGGAAGATTTTGATGATTTTGAATTAGGATGACCTCAAGGACGTAACTACATTAAACTCTGAGTTTGTTATTGGCTCAGCAGCAGATAAACATTTCTGATTGTGAGGTTGAGATCATCTTTCTTATGAAAACACCAATGGAAAGCTTCATTGGGCAAGGATGTGGTTGCTGCTGTCATCACATAAAGGTTGCGATATGCAGATCTTTGAGACCTTTTTCCATTCACAGCTTCTGTCTTACAGTTAAGCAAAGTAGATTGCCACCCTGTTCTTTGAATTGGCCCTTCAAATCCTTGTGTTTTCCTGCCTGCCAAAGATAGGAAGAGATTAAGGGTGACTGACAGCAGAAAAAAATTATGCAGCCACATATACGTTAATCTTGCCATCTTTTCTACAGGATTTGGAAGGAGAAGGATATTTTTAACTGCTCCTTTGTCTTGCTTTTGGACTAGCCACTGATTTCCCAGCACCCTAGAAAACAATTCTAAAGATCTGTCACAGAAAAAATAATTCTTTCAAGACAACTAATCTCTCCATTCAAGGCATTCATATGAAAGCAATTCTACATTCTTCATATTGGCCAGCATATTTGGTCCTGAGTCTCAGGCCAGGAAAAGACAGAGAGACTGATAAACATTTCCTTTATCACAGTCTTAACTAACCCAGTATAACATAACATTTGAAATTAAATCAGTATACTTTCACATGTTAGCAAACTAGAGCTATCAGCCTGTTTCTGGCCACAGGCTGCAAAGGGTTTTTTTTTGACCTCATACATAACCAAAATCTTATCCAAAGGTCTCCTTAAGGGCAGAGGCTCAGAATCTTGACTTATATGATCTGGCTACATAACTTATATTAATTCAAAAATGTTAACCCAGTTAATATATAGAAGCTGAGATCCAAACTATTTTTAATAAGATCCATTAATTTCTCAAACAAGCAAACAAACAATGAAAAAAATACTCTAATATTCGTTCTACTCTCTGTATTTTCAGCATCATTAGGTCATGCTTTTCCAGAGCTTACCCTCTGAACATTGTTACCACTGCACCTCAAACAGGTCCTTGTCTTTGACTATTCAAGGCATCATTAGGTATCAAACCAGAAAAGTAATCTGCTACATTTCCCTAACCACCATCATTTGTTATTACTATTTTTTTGGTCATATTGGATACCATGACAACATATTCTGGACAGTGGATGTCTGAATGACGATACTTATAAGGAACATAAATGAATGTACTTTGTTCACTTACAACTAAGTATGATCACTTCAATTTTTCATTTTATTAATATTTTACATACATAAAGATCCTTTTGTCCTAATGGATTCCAAAGCAAACCATTAAAAAAAAAGGAATTGGGGTGATTTAGATATTACTTCCCATAATTGGATTATATGTTCCTTGCTTCTGTGTTAAATTACTGTAGCAGTTCAGCCTACAGATGACCAAAGTCTCTGATTTCTCAGTTGAGAAACAGCCTTCTCTTTGAGCAACAGACTTGTAATTGTAGAACAGAATTTGTCAAAAGATCCATTCTATCCTCAGCTGAATTAAACTCATAAAAGATGCAAGAACACATTTGTGCTGCTGATAGTGACAGTACCAGCTCTGCAGATGTCACTGTTGCTGTCAGTTTGCCCTACATAACTCAGGCAATCTTGGGTATCTTTCCAGAAATTAGCACAAAGCCTGATTCAGTCCTTTGCTTTTATGCTTGGCCTTTATAGTACAGGGAATTATAGCAAGCAGGAAAAGGAGGATGCCATGTGGATATCAATTTCTAATTAATTTATATTTTCAGTGTCTGAACTACAGTTTCAGCAAGCTATTGGTCACTAATTTGGCCCTTTGGGGTTAAGTCCCTGTAGGTCTCTGGCTTTTGGAACACGTTTCTAAACCAGGCTGAACATGAAGGTCTAACTGGTGCAGAACAAGATCTTTTGAAGGACCAATATTCAATTATATTTTCGAAGTTGTGCATTGTAAGAGGTAAGTGGGATATCCACAGGCTAAGGTTAAGTTAAATTACACTTATAAAAGATCTATTTATTTTAGGACTTGAATTAAAAAAAAAAAAAAAAAAAAAAAAAAAAGGAAAAGAGACGAATCACCGGATTGTAACAGTCATGTTTTGTTTGTTTTCCAGAAACTCAACAGATAAGACAGGTACCCATGCAAGTTATGGTTTGGAATTTTTACATTCCTAAATTTAAAAGATCCTTAGTGTTAAAATTGCCTCATGTGACATCTAACTGGCCTGAAAAAAGAAGTTAAACTGTTAAGAGTCTCACCTACCTGATGTAGATTACTGTAGGAAAAGTTGCCACAGAAGATTTATTTACTCACAAGTATTATTAAAGAATGGTTAAAAGACTTTTGTATTGGGTTAGGAGGGCTTTTACACCAGCTAAAGAAGGGATACCTACAAGAAGTCTGTGAGCATTATTTGGGGGGAAATGGCATAGAGTAACAGCCAAAATCCATGAAGAGAATGAAATATTAAATTACTTAAAGAAGAAGAGCTAGAAAAATTAAAATGAACTACAACAAGGAAAAAGAAAAAAAAAAAAAAAAAGAGAGAGAGAGAGAGGGAGAAGGAAGAAATCAGAAACAGTATAAAGAAAAACTAAAAATGACAAACTGTTCTAAGAAAGGATGAAGGAAATTACGTGCCAGTAGAAAATCTGTCAACTGTTAGTGACTAAAACCAGCACAACTAAAATAAAACAGTTTAAAATCATATCTCCCTGTGAGCTATGATAGATAAGTCAGCTTTAACCATTTTCGTTTACCTTAATATAAGAGAGATTTGATCACAGTATCCTGGATAACTGAAAAAAAAAAAAGTGTTAATTCTGAGAATGGTAGTAATTGGTACCAGTAACTGAGATACAGGATTAGAGAGTACTATCACCCAGAGGGCCATGCAGAATAATAACAAGGGAAGAGACACAAAAAAGAAAATACTGGCACCTAAAATACTGCAAATAAATTAGAATTATTAATTTCATTGGAAAGAGATTAGGAGGTTTTGTGGGATGATTTTCTAAGGATGTGCCTTAGAGTGTTTGAATGGTAAGATGACTGTGCCTGACTGTCAGTGGACATAAATTTATTAGAAAGGATGGGGGGAAATCTTATTTTAATTAAGCAACAAGACTACTGAGTTAGTCATTGATTGTCTCCAACTGGACTGATCAGTGGCAACAATGTTCCTCAAATTATAGCGCAGTAGGTAAATATGGCTGCAATTCACTGGTGTGGCATCTTACCTTGCTAAGAGTGTGGAGTACTTTCTTCATCAGGCTGGTACTTGTGGACATTATTATATCCCTATAATGTAGGCAAAGGAAAGAGAATTAATCCTGAAAAGGAAAGAGAATTAATCTTCTCCACAGAGAAAGGCCATAATGTATCATGTTGCACTCATGTGGACCTGGCTATTGAAAAATTAACAGCAGTATTTTGGAGAAATGCTACTGCTCAGTAACTCAAGGAGAGAAAATAAAAGACACTAACCTAAGTATTATAAAAGATCATATTGGCATTGTTTTAAAAAGGCAAGATGGGTGGTAAGTTTACAGATATAAAACTACAGTGGACACTCAGCGTGTATAGGTGGAATCTATCTGGTAAAAGAAAGGGTTTATGTCTTATGTGTTTATGTCCTAGCCAACACAGAGAACAGCTGCTATGAATCAGCAGGAAGCCACTTATCAGACATGTACAGGAAAATACCCTACAAAATACTCAAAGAGTATTCATACCTCTTTATTCATACCTCTTTGAAAGTTTAGACTGGATCCCTAGTCTGCATGCATAAATTAAGGAATATAACCAGTACCCTATAGACAAGTCTCACCCCTGTCTTGTCTAATACACAGAATGATTCAGGAATAGAAAAAGAAAGACAAAATTTAGAGAATATCAGGCTCTGAGAAGCTGGAGAAAAACATGCTAGTATACAACAGATCTGTGAAACTCAAGCCATTCAGCTGGTAAATCTCACTGTTCACTTTTAGAGCAAGAAAAAGCCTACCATTAAGGTCAAACAAAGTTGAACAAAGCACAGTCTCCTGCAGGCACAAAAATCCTATTTGGTTGACCAAATATACATGAAGCTTATAACACTGAAGAAACATATCATGTATAACTTCAAGGTGAGTTATATATTCCGAATGTGGAATAGCCTTATTGCTGTCATATCCCTACTGAGGTGTAAGAAAAATGTTGCAGCTATCACAAGAACATAGAATTCATCTGGAAGTTGATGAGCCTTCAAAGAAACCTTGTTGCTTGATTAAAACTGTGCTGAAATTCATCCTCCTGGAAGGGATTTAATGTTCATTGGGATACTATTGATGCAAGTTGCTAAATTTTCTCATCTGCTTCAGGAAGCATAGCTGAAACCCTTTTCAAGTACTAATGCATACAAAAATGCAAAAGGAAGGAAGGGAGAGCAAGGCTATATACTATAAAAATAGTCACCTGTGCTGAAAAACTTCACCGAATTTTAAGCCAACATTACTGCATGCTGCAGCTAATCCATTTTTTTTTTTTTTTTTTTTTTTACTCTTTTGACTTGTCAGTAAAGGAATTAAGTGATGACTTGTACCAAATTTTAGGAAGTAAGCTCAGTAAATGATAATGGACCACTTACTACAGCTGAAAGCAATAATTACTTCTTTTCATGAAAGTTGGACTCTCTGAATGAGGCTGTAATTGGCAAGTGTTGTAACCGTCCACAACACAAATTCCTTCATGAGCTACAGCGATGGCAGCTCTTTAACATGTGCCTTCAGTTCTACAAGGCTGAAATTCAGCATGCAGTCAGCCAGCTTAGAGGTTAAAAGGGGATATATATCTGTCTACCAAAGAGACAAGTGCTTTCTCCAGATTGTCTCTGATTATGAGAAAATGACAAGAAGCTAAAAAAATTGCAAGAAGTGATGGCTCTGTTTTGCAGTAAGTAGACAAGCAAAGAGATGGGAAGGTATTTTGGTTAGATGTTATTAATTTCTTGACAGAAGAAAACTTTTGCCTGATTTAAAATCTGATGCATGAGGAAAATTTCACCACTTATAAGACAATAACTTTTTCATTATTAGACATATGGTCAAAAATACTGTGAGTTTAAAACATACATGTAGTATGGGAAAAAATTAATATGGTGGTTGGATTGCTTGTGGCTCAGTAAGCTTTTAAAAATTTTAATTATATACAAGCATAATTAAGTGCTTGTTTTTCTGAGGTATCTAAACCATTTTATTTACACATTATTTTATTACAATACATTAATGAGAACATATGATTTGGAAGCAAACAATTCTTGATTTTCTTTCTTTCTTGATGAAAGCTGTTAATTTTAGCCAGTAATGAAATAATTCTTTTTCCAGTTATGGAAAAAGAATAAGTACTTCTCCAGGAACTACAGGCCAGTCAGACTCACCTTTGTGCTGGTCAAGATCATGGAGCGGATCCTCCTGGAAACAATGCTAAGGCACACGGAGAACAGAGAGGTGGATGATGACAGCTAACATGGCTTCACTAAGGGCAGATCGTGCCTGACAAATCTGATGGCCTTCTCCAAAGGGGTTACAGGATTGGTGGACAGGGGAAGAGCAAATGACATCATCTACCTGGACTTGTGCAAAGCATTTGACACTGTCCCACATTATATACTTGTCTCTAAATTGGAGAGACATGGATTTGATGGATGGACCACTCGGTGGGTAAGGAATTGGCTGGATGGTCACACTCAAAGTGTTGCAGTCAACAGCTCAATGTCCAGGTGGAGACCAGTGACAAGTGGTGTTCCTCAGAGGTCAGTACTGGGAACAGCGCTGTATAAAATCTTTGTTGGTGACATGAAGAGTGGGATTGAGTGCACCCTCAGCAAGTTTGACAATGACTGCAAGCTGTGTGGTGCAGTCGATGTGTTGGAGGGAAGGGATGCCATTCAGAGGAACCTGGATAAGATGTGCCTGTGGGAGCATCATGAGGTTCAACAAGGCCAAGTGCAAGGTCCTACACCTGGGCTGGGGCAAACACAAGCATGAATACAGGCTGGGATTGTGAGTAGCTCTGAGAAGGACTTGTAGGTACCAGTGTATGAGAACCTCGACATGAGCCAGCGATGTGTACTTGCAGCCCAGAAAGCTAACCATATTCTGGGCTGTATCAAAAGAAGCATAGCTAGCAGGTTGAGAGAGGTCATTCTCCCCTTCTACTCCACTCTCACGAGACCCCACCAGGAGTACCGCATTCAGCTTTTGGGCCCACAATATAAGAAAGCCATGGACCTGTTGGAGCAGGCCCAGAGGAGGGCCATGAAGGGGTGGAGCTCCTCTCCTATGAAGAAAAGCTGAGAAAGTTGGTATTATTTCGCCTAGAATAAAGAAGGCTCTAGGAAGACTTAATAGTGGCCTTCCAATATTTAAAGGGGGCCTACAGAAATGATGGGAAGACATTCTTTATCAGGGAGTGTAGTGACAGGAAAAGGGATAACAGCATTATATTAAAGGAGAGTATGTTTAGATTAGGTACAAAAAAGAAATTCTTCACCATGACGGGGTGAGACACTGGAAAAATTTGCCCAGAGAAGCTGTGGTTGCCCCATCCTTAGAAGTGTTCAAGGCCAGGTTGGACGGGGCTTTGAGCAACCTGATCTAATGGAAGGTGTCCTTGCCACGTCAGAGGGTTGGATCTTTAAGGTCCGTTCCAACCCAAACCATTCTTTGACTCTATTATTCCTTAAAACTAATTCCTTTTTTAAATTACTCTCAGCAGTTTTTCAGCTCAAGAATTATTTTGCACAGAGGTTCTTTCTGGATAAAAGGCTGGTGTGGTGTCCTAAATTACTTGAGGAAGATACATTTAAACATTAACTTAAAATAATTAGTAATTACTTCTAAGTTGTTAGGTATTCATTACTTATCACAAGAGTGATAAAGTTTTAGAGAGGTTAAGCTTAATCACTGTTTTAAGTGAAAGACAGAATTCAGTTCTATTAAAGAGTTTCTGGCTACATTTCATAGTAAATTCAGAAAAATTGCTAATGTAGCTGTATCCCATATGTAGAGGGTATTTATACAGACCATCCTAATGTCTGAGAACATTTATATAAATAAGTAACATAACATCAGTCTCTGGGATAATATTCTACAACAGTATAGTAAGACGTCTTCCTGAAGACTTAAATGATCTTAAGTCATCTAACCATGATCAAAACACCATCTCTAACCTGGCCCAAATATAAACAGACACTTGGTCAATTCAGCTAGGGAATCATAGTAGATAAGGATGGCTTTGCTTTATCCTTCTGTATACACAGTTGGTATACACAGTTATGGAAGTAAATGCTTTCTAATGCATTATATATTTTCAGTTGGCTACATATCTAGCATGCTTGCATTACTTCCATTATTGTCATATATGAGCTCTTCTGTTATTCTTGATCTTCATAGGACTTGTGCAGTGTAAGAAAACATTAACCACAATTTTTACCAAGGCAACGGCAAATCAGTGGTAGACCAGTAAATTCAGGTCACAAGGTGATGTCCCAGTTCTTAAGCCAACTTTACATAATATTGCCAAAGTAAATATAAACTTTGCATCCTAAAAATATCCTGTGTCCTCTTTGAACTGAGGTTTTGGTGAGCAAAAAGCTGACAGTAATAACACTCTTGGCTATTTCTACATTATCTAACCAGAAAGATGTGACTGGGGGAATGGTAAAAGTAACCTTGAAACTTATTTGCAAAAGTAAATTTTGTAACATAGCCTTCTCAATTAACATAGAATATTGCAAAAGAAACACTGACTTCAATAACCTATGCTAGTCTAAATTATTTATTTTGACAGTCACTCAAGAAAGTGATGTTTCAGCTATGACTGCTGACCTTCCTCAAGGTTTCTTCCAAATGAGTCAAAGCAAACTCTCCAAATATCTAGAGGAAATGCAATGTCAAAACACTGATCTTCAGAATAACTGTCAACATGTATGACTAAATTAAATTAACCTGAACTGAAGATTAAATGTTATTGTTCTGAAATGCGTATCAATCTTTATATTCATTGAGGGAACTGTACCAAGATAACCTTGATAATTTCTGTGGATTTGGGGAGGAGGATACAAACGCTTGGCTCCTTAAATTGAGTGATCAGCAGTCAGCGTTGACCTGTGGAAACAATGAAAAGCCAATATTGTAGTACGTGAAACGCCAACAGTTTCATTTCTAATATTTCATATCTGAGGTATTGACAATGTTGGATGCAATAAATCATGCTTTGGGAAGAAGAAGTTGTATGTTCTCACGTATCAAATCACAATAGTTATTTAACAGCAGTAGTGTTATAGGGGTTTTTAACGGTTATGTCAGAGTTTCTGTAGTCAGTGAGAGTATCCAAAGACAGCTTGTATGAAACAACTGCAGTGCATTTAGATTTTAAAAGCCAATTATGCTATTCATATCACTTTCACTGGTAAGAAAATAATTACAGTAAAGCAAGGAATAAACTCCACCAAAGACTAAACTACAAGGGTTACTATAGCTGCTATTTACAGAAGCAAAGCTTGGAAAGATTTTATGTAGCTATTAGTCATACATACGATCATCTCAAACATGTAGGTTTTCTTAAGGGAGCTGGCGTTGCACTGCTTAGCCCTCAGTTAGTTATTTAAATCTAAACTGTCTACTTCTCATCTCTTTGAATTTAAATTCCTGGCAGGGTAACTGTGAGAGTATATGTGTGCAATTTTTTTTAATTATTTAACTGAAAATAGAAGCCATTGCAAATTGAAAAAAAAAAAAAAAAAAAAACCACCTGGACCGGGGCTGTTAGTTGTGAGACAGTCGTCACTGCTTAGCACATGCCAAGTCAAGACTGTTTTGTTTTTTTTTTTTCCCTTGATATTCACAGATAGGCTTCTTGTTATTTGAAAGCTCAGCAATTCTTCATTTAAAGCTCCTGTATCTCTTAACACGCCAGGAAAAGTACATGAGCCAAAACGCGCCTTTGGGGAGTTTTTACACTGCTCTGCACGGTTGGCTGTTCCTACATGGAGATTCTACAGTTATATCATTTGATTCTAGCTGACATTTAAACCTTCTGGATCTGTGAGGTTTTGAGGGTAAATTCAGTCCAGTTAAGAAAGACATTATTCAAAAACTGTAAATGGTTTCTTTCCTTTGTTTCACGGTAGAGGCTGCTATCATATAAACTACTCCTCAGCCTATTCTTAACCTTTCTGTAGTAACTGCAGCTCTAGGAAATATTTGTATGCATAATCCATGCAGTTGAAGGAGCTAAATTATTCAGTGAAGAATCTTTTCCATCCTTCAAATCTTGGCAAAGCCTGCTACTGGACTATCACACTCTGATTCCAGTAGCTTCTCCTTCCTACGGTTACTAGCAATTTGCTAAAAAAAAAAAAAAAAAAAAAAAAAAAAAAAAAAAAAAGAAAAACTGCTTAAGTTTGCAATTTCTTATGAACATATATGATTTCTAACATCTCTTTCCTTTCTTGTTCAAAAGAGGACTGAGAAACTCCTGCTGACCTTGTTCCACCATTGGAAGAGTGCCCTGTACTGTCCTTTTCCTCCTCCCTCCATCACTTCTCGAAGGCAGCCTCCTCTGCTGAGGGTCTCTGTTTGCCCTTCTGCTGCCTGCCTCTCAGCAGTGGCTCCCTAGTCATGGTCAGATGCAAAGACCATATTGTTTTAACCTGTTCATTTCAAATAAAGTCAAAGAGCTTGTCTTGTTTTCACACCTGGGGAAATGAGCCAAGGATTACCTAATTTACTTTAATTGATTCAGATTCTTAGTTAGTGTTCCAAATTGAAGGCTTGCTTACTACACTGTGAGCCAAGTTCATCAGCTGTAACTGCAATTTAAGTCCTTGGGCTGGTGCTCCTTGGCTACTTTATAAGGCTCTTCATTCAGAATGTGCTTGTTTTCTGTAAGACATTTTCTCTGATGTTCATTTTATCTTAGATGCACTGTTCACTATCTATTCCATGAAGAGGCAACAGTTTGTGAGATGTGTTAGGGTAATACTGAAAATGTTTGTTCTTGAATAGTATTGAAAGTTAAAAACAGGATAAAAAGAAATATCAGATACAGTTAACTGAGTAACTTCCAAAGAGCACAATAAAGAATGTGTTTTGTTTTGTTTTAAGAAAAAAATACAAACATTTTTTTTCAGAAATAAAGGATATAATGAACATGACAAAATGACAAAATTATGTTAAGGATCCTTTACTGCAGACAGCGGTTTTTATTTCCTGAAAACTATGAAAGTGTTTTTAACAATATTTCCTTGTGCTTCACACACATAATTTGAAGTAGGTTTGGGGAATGATTAATGTATTTCTCTTTGTATCAATTTTAAGCGTACCAAACTTGTGAAATGATGTTGCCTATTTCCATTTATTCCCAATACATAATGTGCATTTCCAAAGTGTTTTAGTGCCAGATACCTTTTCTATCTCTTTCAATATTTTTTATAATCATATACTCACATAATATCATGAGTTGAAAGGGACCCACAAGGATAATCAAGTCCAACCCCAGATCTGCACAGGACCACCCAAAAAACAAGCCATGTGTCTGTGAGCATTGTTCAAACACTTCTTGAACTCCAACAGGCTCAGTGTTGTAACCACTGCCCTGGGGAGCCTGTCCCAGTGCCCAACTCTGATCAAGATAATTACTTTAAAACAAGACTGAGCAAAGCAATATTCCTTCCTGGTCAGTTTCAGTTCAAGCCTGCATTTCTCAAGCTCAGCTGAGATCACATGCATTACTGAGCATCAGTTAGACCTCTAATTCTCCTGTGTGAAAAAGCCAGGGACTAAGCTATATATACAAAAATGCATGGAATTTACTCACCTCAGGACATAAGGTCAAACATCTGCTTACTTTAAGCACGGTATTTGAATCTACTTGATCTTTATCTGAGGTGTAGGATAAAATGTTTGCATGGGATAAGTATGTTTTTGTCTTTTAAGAGACAATCGTTAAGTTTAGGACTCATGAAGATGAACCACTGAACTACTACAACCCATGGGATAATTCTGTGTTCCAAAGTCGTTTATGTAAAGTCAAACAAATAGGCCTGTTGTCATTACAACAAAATTATTTTGTAAAAAGAAAAAAAAAAAAAGTACAATTAAATCATCACTATTTTTTTCATAATTCAAATGCTGGTAATTGACAAAAAAATCAACTTGTTATGATGAAATCTAAATGAATGAGCCACCGGATGGATGGAATGTGCCACAGTCCCATTCAGGCCCCACAAGGTCCCAATTACATGTTTTTTCATTTCTGTAAAAGAAAAAGAAGAAGAAGAAGAAGAAGAAGAAGAAGAAGAAGAAGAAGAAGAAGAAGAAGAAAGAAGAAGAAGAAGAAGAAGAAGAAGAAGAAGAAGAAGAAGAAGAAGAAGAAGAAGAAGAAGAAGAAGAAGAAGAAGAAGAAGAAAAAAGAAAGAAAAATAAAAAAGCAGGCTTAATTCAAACAGATAAGGGATGAATTAACTTGGAAATATTAATAAATCTCTCTATAGCACCCTTGTTTTAGACATCAGTCCACTTGAAATTTGTCTCTATCTATCCTGTTTTGTTTTATTTTGTTTTTCTTTCAGTGTTTCCTGTGATCAATATACTTTTCCAAAATTGGTTGCTTTTATACAAGGTGTACTACTTAAACTAGATATTGCACTATTGCCTTCATTTTGATTGGACATAAACATTATAATTGTCATAAGGTATCCTCAATCCTCTGTCTTTGTCTCAACTGACACTAAAACCAGATGAACTAGAAATTATTTTCACTTGAGGGAACAACTTTAATATCGTTCTTTGAGTCATTAGGATACAAATATTTGTTCTCTACTTATTCTAACATAAATTCATTTAGTGCTGCCACAGCTTTCTGGGAAGGTTGGCTGTTTAGTTTCTTTCTGTACCAGGACAAGTCGCATTCCCAATACATTACAGAATTGTATCATGTACCTTCAGCATAGTAAGTTGGATGCAGCATGCGAGCACCCTATTTACTGAGTAACTATAGCCTGATTAGCTCTATGATACACAGAGTATAAACAACTGAGAGGATGGCTGTGGCAGGACTGCTAATACAGAAAGAATTTACACACTGTTTTTGTCTGGGACAGCTCTGATGTTCCCCATCACGTGGCTGGTTCATGTGCATGGCAAGAAGATCTACAGATAATTTCCACATTTCTATTGCTCCTGGAAAAGAATGCATTCAGTCTCCTCCCCATACGCTCCTGCATTGCTGCTGTCAAAGAAAACTACTAGAAGTAGGGTCCTAGCTTCTACAGGGCATCAGTTAACCCACTTGTCTCTTGTCGGCCTTGGCCAGTTTTTATATGGCCAATGATCTCCTAGAAGGAGCAAGCTGTTATATATGCTTGATGATTTCCTAAAAGGAGAAAGTTCAGGTTTTATTTGTGAAACACAGAATTATTTTTCATGGTTTGTGGACCATTCTAGGCTCATACTGGGGAGTGCAATGTGTTGTCTTTTTTTTCCCTACAGTACCAAGGATTCCTGCAAAGAGACTGGTTGCCTTACCATTTAAAAACATTGGAACAAAATATCATGACTGAAGTTGTTTGTTACCTGAAAAGCCATTTTTCAATGGTCTTTTTTTTTTTTTTTTTTTTTTTTTTCCCTCATAGAAGAAAAGAAGGCCATTCTGAAGAAAATACAAACAAGAGTGAGAAATCTAGTAGGAAAACAAATGCTACTAGAACACTTAGAAGGACTGTTAACATACCACAGAGAAAGCCTTATGGTGATGAGAGTTCTGCACTGCCACGAATTGCAAGTATTGTCTATGCAAAATAATTATGATGAGGTGAAGGTTGCAACAGCTAAAAAGGTTCACAGTTAAAGATATGATTACAGTGGCTAGTGAAATCCTCTGAGCTGTTTTATCAGATGAGTTTCATTAAGTCAAGATGTGATATAACCCTTCTTCACATCTTTGGACAAGAAAAAAAGAATTGAAAAATCCCTTTTTAAAGCGGCATGAAAGTAAATTATAGAACTATAATGGAAGAGACTCTCCATTAAAGAGAAGCCTCGTGAAAAATAAACTGGACGTTGGAGCCAGAAGAATTAATTTCCTTCTGTAGTTATTGCCATGAAACATGTCTAGGGTTCCAAGGCAGAACCCTAGACATCCAAAATGTTGTCCTACTTGGTATCTCATGATAACAAGATAAACATGTAGAAATTTGTTATAGAGCGATGTCGTGCTCATGAATCAAAAATATCATATGTTGAACATCTAATAATTTGCCACCTGAAATGAATGCAAGCTGACTTTTTTTTTTTTTTTTCTTTCTAGGCTATACTGTTTACCTTTCTCAGCCAGTGTATGAATGGTTGACAGTCATACAAGAACCTTAATGAAGAGAAAAAATTTGACTCTTGCCCACCTTCTCATCTATGGAATTAGACTCCCTAGCTTACATTGTGAGGCTACTGCAGGGCTCACGTGAGCAATAAAAGCTTCTGTGCGACCTTCACAGTCTAAGACAAGTGAGGGATGCTATGCTGAAATGACCTTAAAACAGTCTGAATTCTGAAAGATAGACTCAATCAAATGAAGGAAAATACATGCAGAAGCACGTGCTGTCCTCTACATCAACAATGGCTGAATACAAAAGGAGCCTACATACGTATTTGTTAAAGGAAAACATCTAGCTTAAAGTACTGAAGATGAATTCTGCATTCAGCGCAGCAAATATGTCCTTAAAGCACAAACAAACCTATCTGCTATTCACACTATTTTGGCTCATTAAGTTTTAAATTATTTCAGCAGGACTTAAAAGAATTTTAACATCATCATAACTATGGTTTGGCTACAAGTGTTTTAGATAAAATTACCAGACATTTTAATTACATACATCAGAGTAGGGTGGGTTATCTGCTAATATCTTGGTAGAAAACAATCATTTCTGTGACTCTGACCCCAGCATTTCCTCACCTCAAATTCTTCAGCAAGCGTGCTGACTTCCAGAATCTTAGACAGTTCTTTATTTTCCACGGACAACAAAGGATGTCAGTAGAGGTATCTGAAAAAGAAAATCAGTACTATTTTGAGAGAAAAAGGAAAAAAAAAAAACTTCTTTATATGGCTTTCAGACCAAAATGCTTACAAAATCAAAATGCTTTGAAAATCAAAAATGTGACCAGACTTGCTCACTCCTTTTCCTTTTTAACGAAACTAATTCTCTTAGAGTTGTCTTACTTTTTGATACAAGTAAACAGGAAGTTTTTTGTTTTTCACTTCCTTTGAGCCTGTGCTCTCTTTATCACCTTCCACTTTCTCTTTATTTAACCATTGCCAAAACAATTTTAAAAAGAGATCAAAAAAAAAAAAAAATATGCCTCTAAAGTCATACGATCTTGAAAATTTGCCTTGATGTCAGTTCAAGTAGACTTCTGCATCAATCTGATATTGCCTGTGTAGCACTAATACTCCATGCCCTTGTGATTTTTGTTATGTGCACACATTTTCTAAAGCTTCTGAGAATAGAATAGAAAAAAAAAAATCAGCATATCTTTTCAGTTTGTTTGTTAGCCATTCCAAGGTTATTTCAAGGATCCTTTTGTTTTCCTAGTTTTTATGGGAAAAGAGTTGTTTTATCAAACTGTTTATATCAAGGCAATAAAACACAAGGTTATTTGCAAGGAAAAACAGGGTGCAATGATAACAGTGGCAAAGGCCATTGGTAAATAAACAGGGATTAAGCAGAGTTCATGTAAATATTTCCATGGGTGCAAAAACCTAAATTTTGAATACAGCTGGGAAATTTAAGACCTATACGTCTTATTGCCCTAGCTAGAAAACGCAGTCTCAATATTATATTTTGAAGACAGAAAATGCTATTAAATGCTAGATAGAAATGCTATTAAATGCTAGATAGAAAATGCTATTAAAATTATTTTTTTTCATTCTGAAATACTTCTTTATCCATGTAGTTGATACAGAATAAAACATTCAATAGCATTGGGGATGTATGGTGTCTTTCAGAATGAACTACCTTTGTTTAATGTGTTTAGCTAACAGCATTATCTAAAGATATTATTTAAATACCAAACTATTCTAAATAAAGGTTTGAAAAATTAAACCAATTTCCAAACATTTTTTTCACCAGATCAAAAGCAACAACTTAGATTGTGGGGTTTTTGTTTGTTTGGCTTGGTTTTGGTTTTGTTGTTTGTTTTTGTTTGTTTGTTTGTTTGTTTTAAACGATACAAATTGGCCTCCACTAGGATTGGTGTTATCTCTGAAAGCAAAACAGTGGCTACAGGCGAGGATGGGGAATCCTCTGTGCAGATGTTCCAGCCGTTAACTGTAATCCTAGCAAGTGCAGTCTGGACTCTCAGAGCCCAACCTGTGCCTGTATCCCTCAAAGGCACATTTTTCTATGTGCTCTACTCAAAAAGCCAGTCTGCACTTCCCCACTTCTCCACTCCAAAGTTTGCTATGTCCTGAGTTACATACCTAGCAGAACAGTCAGTGTAAATATCTGCATCATACAAATGTTAAGCCATGCTCGCTTCCTCAGAAGCAAAAATCAGAGAAGCGGTGGAAGATAAGTCCATATTCCAGCTGCACAAGTGAGGATCCTATTGTGAAACTCAAGGTATGGAGGACTGGGAATTAAGAGACTAATTTGTTTCATTCTTTCTCAGCAAACAAGGAGTTTGCACAAAGTTGCATATTCAAGATTTACAACAACCTGTCAGATTGACTTAATTAGAGGATCACAGATTTCTGTCTGCAGAAGCTGAAGAGACACATCTCAGCCCTTGCTGAAGCTTCTGCAAGAGCCTGTCATAAAATGAGACCAAATGGAAACAACAAATGAGAAACTCTCACTACCAAAATCCAGTATTCCAAGCCTTGTGTCTTAAAGGAAAAATGGAGTTCTGGACTCAGCTACAAAGTCAAGGATGTGAGTTGATTTCTATGTGACTTGTGACTTCTATGGAGTGATCCACGTGAAGAATCAGCAATGAGTGGACCAGAAACCAAGGCTATTTCAGAAAGGTAACACCTTTCACCAAAAGCTTTTAATCTTAAAGATATAAAATAAAATAAAATAAAATAAAATAAAATAAAATAAAATAAAATAAAATAAAATAAAATAAAATAAAATAAAATAAAATAAAATAAAATAAAATAAAATAAAATAAAATACAACAAGTAAATACAGCAGCTCTCTGGCTACAAATGAGAACTGTGCCCACATCTCATGGACACACCTGAGCATAGAAGATGCTTGTATCACCAGACAGCAAATTTTGCATGAGAGCTTCAAAATAAATAAATATG